CATAACTAAAATGCTCCATTCCTTTTTTCAATTTTGTAGCTCGTCACTCTGCACTTTTTCTAGTGCCATGATATCTTTCTTTAGAACAGGTGCCCAAAATTGCACAGCATATTCAAGGTGTGGTCTTACCAGCGATTTAAAAGAGGCAAAATTATATTTTCATCTCGAGAATTTATGCCCTATTTATGCATGACAAAACCTTACTGGCCTTAGCAACGGCAGATTGACATTGCATATTGCTGCCTAATTTGTTGTCTATAACAGTTCCCAAATCCTTCTCGTGTGTGGTTATCGCTAGTTCACTACCATTTAGGGTGTAAATTGCTTGTGCATTCTTAACTCCGAAGTGCATAACTTTGCATTTCTCTACGTTAAATTTAATCTGCCATTTTAGTGCCCAGTCCCCCAATCTATCCAAATCCCTCTGCAGCAAGGCAATATCCTGCTCACATTTAATTACTTTACAAAGTTTTGTGTCATCTGCATTTGAATCTTGAAATGCCCATTTCAAGATTCAAGTGTGTTTCTATTAATACAAAAGAATGAACATATTTATTAATATTTTGGGAAGAGGATATCCATTCCTTTAGTTCTATATTTATTTTTAATTCAGTATTCAATTTTTTAATGGCAGTAGGAGTTTCGGAATTGTATACATTCTCTAACAATCTAACACATCAAGGGAACAGCTGCTTTATTTTATTCTGGTATAGAATTGTTTTTAGTATATCATACATCTTACCATCAGAAACTAATACAACATTCTCTAAATAGTGTTTTACCCTAATATAGGAGAAAATATCTTTGACAGAAACCTGAAACTCCTCTATCAACATTTTAAAAGGTTTAATTTTGTTATCTTTAACCAGGTCTTTTAGTGTGTTAATCCGACTTTCTTTCCATGATTTTAAGGAAATGTTATCCATACTGATTTCTAATATATTTAAACTTTGGAAATCAAGTATTTTATTATCCATGTTGATTTTTTTCATAATTTTTTTGCCAAATTGGAATAACCTGCCCAAGAATATATAATCTGGATAAGTTAAGTTTTTTTATATTCCAAATTAACTCTAAAGGATCTCTTGCTTGACTCGCTTCCAATTTGCAGCCATGGTTTTGGTATTTCTAATGGTAGCATTCTGAACAGATAGATCCACTTTGGCAAAACATACGATTTTAGAATATTTATTCTGCCTCCCCATGATACTTCTAGTTTTCTCCATTCTTATTTGTTTCCTTTAAGAGATCCATTAAATTTATGCGCATGATGCTTTTGATGTTCTTACAAATTTTAATTCCTAAATATAAAAATGTTTTGGCATTTATAAAATTATTTGTTTCTTGATAAAAGTCTATCTCTTGCTTTAACATACTAATATATATTGCAGTTGATTTTGTCTTGTTTAGCTTATAATTTGATACTGCACTATATAGTTCAATTTCTGTCGTTGCTTTTGATAACGAAGTGTCATCAGCATAAAGAGATAGCTTTAATTCTTTTTGTTTTGCTATGAATCCTTTGATTTTTGCGTTTTGTCTAATTTTGCTCACTAAAACTTCTAAAGTTAGTATGTCTAGTAAAGGGGATAGAGGACATCCTTGTCTGGTCCCATTTTTTAGTTTGAACATATACCTGGGCCAATTGTTCTAGCCAAAATATAGGTGCATATAAAAATATTAACATTTGCGGTCTGCGGTGCATTTCTTGCAGTCAAATAACGCCATCAGGTTTTTAAAACTGTCCGTCTCCATCAGACAGAATGATAGCATTTCAAAGACCAGGAATTTTGGAATGCTGAGATTCATGGCCAGGGATTGCAGGTGGGTAGGGGGGTAACTTCCTCTTTCTCTCCAGTGTTTGGGAGATGAACAGCTGAATGATTTCATGGGACAATGTGGAGATGCTTGGGGACGGTGGCGGACGTGGTGGCGTTGCTGCCACATCCTCTGTTTGCGGGGTGGCAGGTGCCACTGTCACTCCAGAGGAGGAGGAAGATGCTGAGACAGCAGCAGAAGAGGAAGCAGGAGAAGACTGAAACTTTCTTGGTTTTTGAGGTGCTCACTCCACTGCAGCTCGTGCTTTGTATGTAGATGCCTGGTCATGTAGGTTGTGCTCAGGTTTAGAATGTTTATGCCTCGCTCCAGGCTCTGATTGCACAGCATGCAAACCACTCGTTTCTTGTTGTCAGCACATTGTTTTGAAGAACTGTCATGCCAAGGAACTCCTTGGAGCTGGCTTTGGTGTGCTCGGTCCCTGGGTGCAGTGGGCAGTAGCAGGCGCACTGTCTAGGGGATGGCCACTCCGCTTTTGCACCCTGCTCTAAGAGGAGGAGGTGGATATGGAGTAGGAGGAGGCGGCGACCCTGGCGGTGTAGGTAGAAGTGGCGGTGGAGGTGAAGGAGGTAGCCAACACTGTTTTTTTTTTTTTTTAATTGGGGTAGCCCCCAAAATATTGGGACATATAAAAAAAAAAAAAAAAACATTTGCGGCCTGCGGTGCATTTCTTGCAGTCCAATAACGCCATCAGGTTTTTAAAACTGTCCATCTCCACCAGACAGAATGACAGCATTTCAAAGGCCACGAATTTTGAAATGCTGGCATTCAGGGCCAGGGATCGCGGGTGGCTAGGGGGGTACTTCCTCTTTCTCTCCAGTGTTTGGGAGATGGACAGCTGAATGCTTCCATGGGACAGTGTGGAGATGCTGGACAATTGTGTACCTGGCCTATGCTGGTGCAGGAACCCACCCTCCGAGCCACTTGTGAATGACTGGCCTGATAACCGTGGAAATGACCCCTCTTCCTCCTGTGCCACATCCTCTTCCATCATCGCCCGAAGCGTTTTTTCAAGGAGACATAGAAGCGGGATAGTAAGGCTGAGAACGGCGTCATCAGCACTGGCCATGTTGGTGGAGTACTCGAAACAGCGCAACTTGGCACACAAGTCTCGCTGGAGGCCCACTCATTGGTGGTGAAGTGGTGCTGTTCCGCAGAGCAACTGACCCGTGCGTGCTGCAGCTGAAACTTCACTATCGCCTGCTGCTACTCGCACAGTCTCTCCAGCATGTGCAAGGTGGAGTTCCACCTTGTGGGCACATTGCATATGAGGCGGTGAGCGGGAAGGCCAAAGTTACGTTGCAGCACAGACAGGCGAGCAGCAGCAGGGTGAGAATGCCGAAAGCGCGCACAGATGGCCCGCACTTTCTGCAGCAGCTCTGATATATCTGGGTAGTTTTTCAGGAATTTCTGCACCACCAAATTCAGCACATGCGCCAGGCAAGGGATGTGCGTCAAACCGGCTAGGCCCAGAGCTGCTACGAGATTTCGCCCATTATCGCACACCACCAGGCCGGGCTTGAGGCTCAGGGGCAACAACCACTCATCGGTCTGTTGTTCCATGCCTGTCCATGCCTGTCCCCCAAACATATGAGTTTTAAAACAGCCTGTTGTTGTTTCCCCCTGACTGTGCTGAAGTTGGTGGTGAAGGTGTTATGCTGACCGGATGAGGAGGTGGTAGAGGAGGAGGAAGCGGAGAAAGCGGAGGAGGAGGAGGCAACAGGAGCCAAAGCTGTATATCCAAATAAAGATTGTCAAACATTGTATCCTGGAACTGTGTCCCATCTGGGGAAATGGGTCTCACCTATTCTAATCAAAGGGGATAACCATCAGTTACCCAGGTCCCGCTTCAATTGGTGGCAAGCGGCGGGATCCCATGTCCCTGCCAACACACCCATAGCGACCTACACTGAAGGACTTGTGTGGAGCCAGAGGAATAACGCCTGGTGGGTGTAACAAGGCCAAATTGACTGCTGCGGTCATGGAGGAGGACCAGGCACGCATTGAGGCAACGAACCCCAGTCAGGGGCCGGAGATGAGGAGGAAGTGCTCAAGGAGGTGGACAGGTGCCTGGCAAATTACCGAGAGCCACCCTCAGAGGAGATTGTCAGCAGGACCTTTTTGGAGGTGCAAGCCTATGTCCTTGCCAATAGACAGAGGTCGACCTCCATGAACCCAGATGAAGGAAGAAGGGAGCAGAGGGCACCGGGAAGCACAGCCATCCTGGCCCACAAGCTACCATACAATGCATTCAAAGAGTTCAAGGAAGCAGAAGAAGGCATCAATAATTGTTTACAAGACTTTGAGCGCCAGTGCCTACTCCAAGACGTGGACCCCAGCGACTGGGTCACCATCCTGGCCAGCAAACTAGTGGGGAAGGCAGCAGATATTTACCGGGCTGTACCAGAGGAGCAGATCAGAGATTATCCCTTTATTACACAAATCCTCCTGGCCCGGTATGCGGTCACCCCCGAGCAATACCGCTGAAAGTTTGGGGAGACCCGGAAAGGGGAGAAGGACTCCCATGCTGAGTGGGCATGCCACATCACAAGGGACACCCAGAACCAACTCCCATGAAGCCAAGTTCCTGGAGGAGATCACCCAGCTCGTCATGCTAGAGCACTTTTTCAATGGGCTCCCATCGACACGGCTGGTGAGAGACCACCAGCCCCAGATCCAAGAAGTATTGGTATGAGCTGCTGAAGCTAGCTCACGATATCCCCTTGACAGGGCATTTGGGCAAGAGCAGTACAGCGTCTTGCCTCACCCAAAGCTTCTTCTGGCCAGGCATCTCTCAGGATCTGAGGCAGTACTGCCAGATGTCTGCCAGAGAGTGGGGAATAGAAGGGACCGGCACAGGGCCCCCCTCCAACCCCTACCTATTAGTGAAGATCAGTTTGGCAGAGTAGCTGTCGACATTATAGGTCCCCTAGCCAATCCTAGTTCCTCTGGGAAGAAGTACATTCTGACCATCGTGGACTACTTGGCTTGGTACCCTGAGCAGTATTCGGGCCGTGACTGTGGCTGAAGCCTTAATGCGAGTGTTTTCTCAGATGGGTTTTCCCGGGAGATTCTCTCAGACCAGGGCTCCCAGTTTACTGCCGAAATGACCCACCAACTGTGGATTGGGAGGTGCCACAGGAATCGACTGGGTTCTCCTCATTTGAACTGCCACGCCAGGGAACTCCTTGGAGCTGGTTTTGGTGTGCTCGGTCCCTGGGTGCGGTGGGCAGTAGCAGGCCTACTGTCTAGGCGCAGAAAATTACTTTCAATGTTATTTTCTGCTCCTACCATGGTGACCACGGGTAACGGGGAATCAGGGTACAATTCCAGAGATGGAGCCTGAGAAATGGCTACCACATCCAAGGAAGGCAGCAGGCATGCAAATACCCACTCCTGACGCAGGGAGGTAGTGACGATAAATAACAATACAGGACACTTTCCAGGCCCTGTAATTGGAATGTGTCCAGTTTAAATCCTTTAACGAGGATCTATTGGAGGGCAAGTCTGGTGCAAAGCGACTGATCTGTGCTTGCTGCATCTGAAACTCCGCTATCGCCTGCTGCTGCTCGCACAGTCTCTCCAGCATGTGCAAGGTGGAGTTCCATCTTGTGGGCACATCGCACATGAGGCGGTGAGCGGGGAGGCTGAAGTTACGCTGCAGCACAGACAGGCGAGCAGCAGCAGGGTGAGAACTAGCCAGTGTTGCACACATACACCAGATATGAAGTGCACACCCCAAATGTACTATGTAGCACCTAAAGAATTTGAATGTTTAAAACTGCTATGTCACAGCAGTATTTGACGGTTCTATTTGACTCTCAGATATGAAGTGCAGGCCCCAAATTTACTTTTTAGCACCTAAAGAATTAGAATTTTTAAAACTGCTATGTCACAACAGTATTTGACGGTTCTATTTGAATCTCAGATATGAAGTGCAGGCCCCAAATTAATTTTTTAGCACCTAAAGAATTAGAATTTTTAAAACTGCTATATCTCATCAGTATTTGACGGTTCTATTTGACTCTCAGATATGAAGTGCGTGCCCCAAATTTACTTTTTAGCACCAAAAAATGTGAATTAGTCAAACTGCAATGTAACCACAGTATTTGACAGTTCTACTTGACTCTTAGATATGAAGTGCACACCCCAAATTTACTGTTTAGCACCAAAAGAATTTGAATGTTTAAAACTGCTATGTCACAGCAGTATTTGACGGTTCTATTTCACTCCCAGATATTAAGTGCAGGCCCCAAATGTACTATTTAGCACCTAAAAAAATAGAATTTTTAAAACTGCACTGTAAGCACAGTATTTGACAGTTCAATTTGACTCTCAGATATGAAGTGCAAGGCAGGCCGCAAATGTACTATTTAGCACCAAAAAGTTTGATTTTTTTAAACCAACAATGTAACAGTAGTATTTAAGGGTTTTATTGGACTGCAAGAAATGCAGTACTCAAATGTACTATTTAGCACCAAAAAAATTGCAGTATTTAAAATTGCCTAGATGTTGCCCACTGAGCTACCAGAACAGGATTCAAGTAATGTGTCTGGCACACATGCAGTTGCAAGTGCACTGCCCTCTCGGTGGCACTGGGCTCAAGGCAGGGTACAAAAATGTAGTATTATAGCACCCACAAAAATAATCGCTGTAGTTTGCAGATTCAACACCAGAATTATTACTAATTTGTCCCTCACAGCTGCAGCATCCACTCCCTACATTAATAAGAGCTCATGTGCGTGCGGCGCCACGTGACTCCAGTTTATATATAGAGGCTGGGTCACATGCTGCACTGGCGAATCACAGCCATGCCATTAGTAGGCATGGCTGTGATGGCTTCTAAGGGCACACGAGTCAAATGCTTGTTGATTGGCTGCCCTGCAGCCTTTCAAAACGCGCCATTAAATCGCTGAATACCGAACTCCAACCCGAACATACACTATGTCTGTGTTCGGTTCCGGGGTCCAAAAAACATATTGTTTGGTATGAACCTGAACTTTACAGTCCGAGTTCGCTCAACTCTAGTCATGATCTGACCATATTACTGGTTTAATTTCTATTTTATGGGTTTTATCTATCAGTTTTAATTCTCCAAAAATAAAATCTATTCTAGAATAAGAATCATGGGGCCAGGAATAAAATGTGAATTCTTTAGCAACAGGATTATTAAGTCTCCATGTATCGAATAATCCTTCTCTTTTCAGCAAATTGTTAAATGTTCTTGCAATTTTTAGAACTTGTTTGTCCTAGGGAGTTTGCCTTTCAGAGAACTTATCCAATAGGGGGTCCTGTGTACAATTGAAATCCCCAGCATAAATCTTTAGGCCTGCTCCAATTTTTTCAACACTATTTAGCACTTTTCTAAAGAGGCTCATAGGGTTTTTATTAGGCAAATAGACATTAAAGGACCACTATAGTGCCAGGAAAACATACTCGTTTTCCTGGCACTATGGTGCCCTGAGGGTGCCCCCAGCCTCAGGGACCCCCTCCTGCCGGGCTCTGGGGAGAGGAAGGGGTTAAAATCTTACCTTTCTCCAGCACCGGGCGGGGAGCTCTCCTCCTCCTCTCCGCCTCCTCTCCTCCTCTTCGGCTGAATGCGCATGTGCGGCAGGAGCTGCGCGCGCATTCCGCCAGTCTCATAGGAAAGCATTTATAATGCTTTCCTATGGACGCTTGCGTCTTCTCACTGTGATTTTCACAGTGAGAAGCACACAAACGCCTCTAGCGGCTGTCAATGAGACAGCCACTAGATGCTTTAGAGGCTGGATTAACCTATTATAAACATAGCAGTTTCTCTGAAACTGCTATGTTTATAAAAAAAATGGATTAACCTTAGCTGGACTTGGCAGCCAGACCACTTCATTATGCTGAAGTGGTCTGGGTGCCTAGAGTGGTCCTTTAACTAAAGTAAATTGTTCATCATTAATTGTGCAGACAAGAATAATAAATCTTCCTTCCGGATCTAGTTCAGTAAATTTCACATTGATTTTTAAATCTTTAGAAAAAAATATTGCAACTCCTCCTCTTTTACCCTCCTCTCTAGAAGCGCATATTTTTAATGGAAAAAAAATCTACTGATCAATCTATTTTCATCTTGTTGGCGCCAATGAGTCTCTTGAACCATGGCAATTTGAACGTTTCCTTTTTCAGGTAGTCTTGAAAGGCACGTCTTTTTTGTGGGATGTTTAGGCCTTGAATATTTATCGTTATCAATTTATCCATATTCAAATATTATTTTCTTGGGCAGTTTGAGAAACTCTTGCAGACATTCAATTAAACCAACACAATAACGCGTACACAAAACATCTTCTAGTGCACTCACTAGATAAAACATACATTCTGTAGCGGTACTTACCCTCTCCGGGGGCTGGGCGGGGGTCCTCTGTCCCCGCCGCGCGCTTTCTGCATCTGCACAAGCTGCACGCGGCTCTTCCGACAGGGATATCCGGAAGGCATGCACTGACCACGAGACGTGGCAACGTGACTCGCCTGGTTCTGGGAGCGCGCCACCCGTATAGGGCGCGCTTTTAAAGGGACAGTGGGTTTCCCATTGGCCCATGTCATTCCACATTCCCCATACACTCACATTTTGGGGGCGTGGCTATGACAAGGGCCAATCAAATTAAACTCTATGGTATTTATACTAACCTTTCCCTTAGCTCCCTGCCCTATCGTGGATTCTGATTCAGTTCCCTTTAGTGCTTGTTTCGTCCAGTAGTGGTTTTTTCGTACTTGACCTTGGCTTTGTACCGGACTCCGTTTTTATCTTTATCCCTGCTTTGTCTTATTTGCTGGTTTCCTGACTCCTGTGTACCAGTCCTTGGCTAAGTTCTTGTTTTCGCTGTCTCTCTGTTCCCTTGACCTCGGCTCGTTCTTGACTCTGTCATTTCCCTGTACTACGTTGAGTCCAGCCATTCTAAGGCCCGGTAAGACATATCTTTTTTTATCTTGGTAAGACTAAAGTGAAGTGGTTGTTCCACTAAAGATGGAAAAATTTGGACATCCACTTCACCAAATGATATCTCTAGATAATTACAATAATTGTTAGGTATAACCTTTATTAAGCCGACTTTGGCAAAACAAAAAACAATAAATGATAATAAAGTAATAGTGAAACACTCGTGAAAAGAACACGTGAAGTAAAAAGTGGGTAGATGTAGTTTGGATATCCTCAATGTATACTGGGGTAATTTGGATAACTTCACTGAAAACACTAGTAACCAGTACAATATAGTACCGTATATGTTCAGTCACATATCACAAAATTGCTCCCCCTAAACTCTACAGGGATCTAGAAATCCCAGCTATGTAGAGGTACATCCACAAAAATTTCCCATAGACTCTAGTATATTTTCACAGCATACACTTTCGGTTTAGATAGATAGTATCCATATAAAGTTTATCTATCATACAGATATATCCAAAGTGTTGCAAATAAAGACAGAGTCTAGGAAGAAGCTGAGAGACACTGTGTGTAAAGTGTGTTACTTAGTATTTAGTACTTAGATAAGATATAGATACTCATTACTAAGTGGAGAGGTCACAGTAGGTAAAAACTTAAATAGATCTAGAAAGATAGTTTAAGGAAAATAGTCCTGGGAATGAGTATGTAGGTGTCTCTAAGGATGGATTGACTTATATAGATATATAGAGGTACCCACCCAACAGAATGAATCCCTCCCAGGAACAAAAGGACACTTAAATATGCAGAGACTTGCTGCACTTGCTAAATCCAGCTCATGTATATACTGAACACTGCTGCTACACAACTCCTATAAATACTAAACACTGCTGCTTCAAGGCAGCCTAACACTAAAGATCACTAGCTGAATGCTCTAAATAGGTATAGTAAAAGTCCTAGTAGTGCCACTAACTATGGCTTAAACAAGATAATTCCAGCTAGAGAGTCAAAGTAAATACTTTAAATGCCCACCAGCATAAGTGACTAGATCACTATATACATCCCCCACTAATAAAAACAAAAAACCGGCAAACGCTCCGAGCGTTTCTTATTCTCAAGTTGTTTCTTTTCGAGCGATCTTTAAGTTCACCTATTTTTCCTTCCATTTGTCTCATTTGATTTATTAGTTGTTCATTTTGTTCTTTATTTTAAATTTCTCTTTTTTGAAATATTTTTTAACATTCATAAATACATAAAATTACTTTAGTTACCGTTAATATATAAAAAAAAGATTGCAATTACTTAACACGTAACAAGACATACTTAACAAACATAGCAGCCATTCGGAAGTTATTGGTTGGAATCTATATATTTGACAAAAGAAAAATAGTTTGAAGAAAAAACCTGTTATCTAATATGATAAGGAGAATGAATATTTATTGGAAACGTTCTTTAATCTTTTTTATTCAATTATCAAAATGGTGTATATATTTTCTATTATTATTTAAACATGCGACTCCTCTCTCCATTTCAAGCTGGAATAACAATTGAGCTATAAACTGTTTCATATCTGGTGTGGTTATTTCTTTCCAAGTTCTTGCTATTAGTATATTCGCCACAATAAGGGAGTGGATGGT